GAAAAAAAATCGCAGAAAGAAGGTAAGATAGGAATGGATATGGAACAGAATTTACATTACAAGCACTTAATAAAAATTACATAAAACCTTCTCTTTAAGTATTAGGAAACGTCATTGGTTTTATTTTGTATTCATTTTTAGTAGAATGTTTTACGTTAATACAGACACATATTAACAGATAATAACTGAATTTAATCATACGTCGACTAGCGTTTTATTTTATTTATTGAACAATGACGTCATCAAGATTTTATGATATATGGATTTTTACAATATAATATATATTTATAATTCTTTTTTCTTTTGATTAAGGTTGGAGAAAACACACTGCCAAATCTGGTTCCGCTTTTAACTGGTCTCCGTGTATGGTCAAATGAAGTACCAATAAAGAATTACCTCACTGAAAGTTTTGATCCGCTTCCGTTTCTTTGGAGAAACTTTTCCGAACGAGGCTATGCAACTGCTTTTGCCGAAGACATGCCGAATTTTGGCACTTTCACATATTATGCAGGAGGATTCCGAAAACAGCCGACTGATCACTATTTCAGACCATTCTGGCTGGGCGTAAATGAGTTAGAACAAGTGAAAAGCAAATTGAGTCCAGTGTTCTTGTATTTAGAGAATAAAAATGTCAAGATTCAGAAGTCATCATCTTTGTGTTACAAGGATAAAACTAAACATACTGTACAAATTGACTATCTAAAACAGTTCATTACAGCATATAAAGGGAAAAGAAAGTTCATGTTTTCATTTTTAGGAGAACTTAGTCACGAGTATCCCAATCTGCTTGCCAACGGTGATGATGATTTTTTAGATTTTTTCAAATGGCTTAAAAGTGGAGGTCATTTAGAGAACTCTGTTTTGATATTCTTTAGTGACCACGGTGCTAGGATAGACGAAATAAGAAACACTTTTGTGGGTCGAATAGAGGTCAGGATGCCACTTATGCATATCTATATTCCAGAACACATAAAATCGAAATATCGTTTATTGAATGAAAGTTTAGTGACTAATACAGAAAGATTATCGGTGCCTTTTGATGTTCACCAGATGATAATAGACGTGATGACGAAAAATTTCGAAAATCCATCAAAGTCTTACATGGAAGGTCGTGTAAGAGGACACAGTTTATTTCATCCACTTCCACCGGAAAGATCGTGTAGGGACGCATGGGTTCCTGTCAATTATTGTGCCTGCTATACATCTTCTCCGATCAATATTTCAAACAGTGCCACTGCAAAGTTGTTGGGAAAACAACTTGTAAAGGATTTAAACAACATTCTGTCCGCAGAACCAAACTGTTCTCAATTGGCCTTACACAAAGTGCAGGATTTACAGCAGGTGACAAATGGACTGAAACATTCCGGCACAGACAATACTGGTATATCATTTTTCCAGTTTTTCGAGCCAGAGAAAGACAAGAAACGTTATGATATTTCTGTAGTTACAGTTCCTGGTTACGGAATATTTGAGGGATCGTACCTGGTGGAATCGGAGTCGAACATAAACCTTTTAGGAGCAATTGTAAGGGTTAACAGGTATGGTGATCAGCCCTGTACTTCTAACAAACAGATTCGACCTTTGTGTTATTGTAACAAACAGCATTGAATACATTAACCAATTTTTTATACATGTATATATGAGCCGTGCCATGACAAAACCAACATAATGGGTTTGCGACCAGCATGGACCCAGACAAGCCTGCGCTTCCGCGCAGTCTGATCAGGATCCATGCTGTTCGCTTACAAACCCTATAGCAAGTAAAGAACAACATGGATCCTGATCAGACCGCGCGGATGAGCAGGCTGGTCTGGATCCATGCTGGTCGCAAACGCACTATGTTGGTTTTCTCGCGGCTCATATAATTTTGACGCGGCTCATATAATATCTGGCTTATTATCGTCACCTTAATAAAGTAACTAGTTAACTGATTTTATAGGAGTTAACTCGTTACTTCACTAAGGTGACCATATAGTGTGTCTTGTGTACATGATCTTGAATTAATTAAATGTCGGATCTCTTAAGTCTGTCCAGAAATTAGACTTTCTTTAGTTGCACTGAGGTTTTATTACATTTATTTGGTGCATGGACAATAAAAATATATTGTTAAATACAATACCACTTAACCACGTGAACTGTTTTGTTATCTACAAATGTAGTACATGCAGAGTTATTCTTTTGATGTCTAGAAATTAGAATGAAAAGTTCTTTCTGAAAACCAAAATAGACACTTATTTTTGTGTACTAATTTTTATAGTGTAACAAAAAGTATTTTTCATGTTAATAATTTGACAATATTTTAGCTGTATTAATATGTTATATTTCTATTTTGAAGAAAAGACTTGCTTAAGTAAAAATACATTGTAATATCTATTTATTTAATTATGTTTTGCTGTGTTGTCAGAAGTTATTTTTGGATATAGAATTATTTTGATATTTGTTCAACTTTTCGTTAGAAACTCTAGTCGTTCTTTTTGATTTTGTGTCGGCGTTGATTAATCGTTTCTGTAAGGTCCTTTTTTTCTCAGAAACTATCAAAACTTTTCACTTCAAACAAAGAATAATTGTTTAAATTATCATGATGTGGTGCCATATCAAAAGGTTATATAATCAAAAAGTTATTATTTGCAAAGTTTTGCCCCTTTTTAACTTAAATTTTTGGATCTGATTATTTTTTTTGTTAATGTCCATTGCAATTGTGTCCGATTCCAACTTTGAAAACTAGTACTTGTTCACGACCAAAACTGGAAATGTATATAACCTTGTACTAGTAATTCAAGTTTGCTCAGATATGGTCCTACTTAACATTTTGTTTAAAGTACATTTCTAAGGAACTGTCAAAGATATTCATTTAATCTTGGAATAATTGTAACTTATCAAAATTAGAAACTTTTTTAGAATGCAAATGGCCGTGACTGTCCTTATTGCCTAACGAAACTATGTCCCCTTTTCTACTATGTTTTGATTATACTACCCATGTCTGAGAAAGTGGACCGTACTGTATTGTACAGTTACCTTGCCAGTTATATGACTTGACTTAGTCGTCTTAAAGTGTATAAAGCTTTATGAAATGAAATATTTCATGAAAAGAAAATGAATTTGTTTTGTTTAATTTGTATTATAACATACTGGTGTTTAATATAAAATATCTTTATAATATAATAATGCATGGATATTATAGGAGAACATAATTTAAAAAAAAGAAATATATTGAATAATGTCTTTTACTCTAGGTGTTCTATAATCAAAACACCCTTTACATTTCACAGACAACAAATAAATATATAGCTTGATACTCTTTAAGAAGTAATTATAAACCATGCTCTGGTATACACCAATTTTAATGTACATGTATTGTAGTTATGTTTTGCTGTATAATGATTCTCCATACATGTTTAGTGGTACATTTAGGAACGTTTGGCGGTTTTTTGTTATAACATGTAATTTCATTTATTTCTTCTTTATTACCTTATTATATAAAACCATGATTACCGTTTTGCCCTCTTACATGTTTCTTTTGCCCTCTTACATGTTTCTTATAAATAATGAACATACCTGGCCTTGTACATTTTAAGTACAAAATGCATTATGCTACCCAAAGTTTCTAGCCCCGCCCCCATCCTCGTGCTGAAGAGGTGCTAAAAAGTTACTTCATAGATTACTATATATTAACTCTGATGGGTCTTTAAGATTTGTTTGACCCAACTTATACCTAAGTCGAATTTAGGGACATTTTTTAAGAGAAAGGAGTGTAAATCCGGAAAAAGTTACATAATCTCAGTAAAATGTATGTATTTAGAAACATGGCCATATAATATAACCATTGTGTTGTATATGTATAAACAACTTGCCTTTTAATACTTACCCAGAATGCTCTGTTTTTGTGATATACATGTTCTTCATAAAGATAGATTTATTTTGTTACATAATGAAATGAACATGCATTTTATTGTATATTTACTCTCGGCTGCAGCTAATACTTACTTTGTGAATATAAATAATATAATTATATTTTAATACAATAGTGTGTATAATAGATATTTTAGATTATTGTTTATTCATGATCTTTTATTTGCTGTTATTTATGTTTGCATGTGCGGTCTCGCGCGCACGCGCGCGTGTGTGTTGTGGTGTATGTGTTTTTGTTTGAATCCACTCTTTAGATAGAGAAAACATGTTTGACACTCAATGCTTCTTTTTTCTTTGAAATTGTTTGCACATGCAACTCTAAAATAGTAATTATCAGTTAATAAATAGTCTCCTTGTGAACAATTTTAAGTAGGTTTTGGGTAAAATTTTGGTAAATTGTAAAATTTAATGATCTGATAGAATCGGGATAGTAGTTGGGGTGCGGGGGAAACAGGGGGCGGGGCCTTGTGTGTATTTGTGTTTACATCACTTTTAAAACCTATTGAATTTTAAACTGCAACACGTAAGTCTTTTGCTGAAATTTCAATGTTGTCATTGCACGTTCGATTATCAAGTAAGGTATAATAAATTGGTATTTGTATGAATAACTATTGAAATATATGATTCAACAGTGCATTAGTTGTATGATTATAAAGAACATGTTTCTGTTATGTGTTATAATTACTTCCACCACTATGATATACATTGATTAAAATGCGTTCTTGACATGCGTCAACTAAGTTATGTAATGATCCAAAAGTTGATGTTGAAGCAGACGGTATATCAGTAATCCTAACTGTAAATCCATCTTTATAAATGTAAATAGCAGATTATTTTAATCTTGATTTATGCAAACCAAGTTTAAAGATATACTTTGCTCATCTTTGAGTAAAATATTTTTTGTTAAACTTTATTGAAATATAGAAATTTTTTACTGAATTTGTCTATTTTCATTAGTGAATTCACTATATTTGAGAAGCTTGATTCCCTATTACTGGTGAAGCTAATTTGGTCCTTTCTTTAAAAAACGGCCAGATTTTTAATGATACTATATACAGGTATTCATGTTTACCTGGTACATAAAGGTTAAAGTGTAATTTTTTCTCTCTATGTGTACTAAAATATTAAATTTTTCATTTAAAGGGGGACTGTACAGTGACAACTATCAGTATTTTGAAATATCAACATTGAGCAGAATATATCTTTGAGCTATATGGTAAACAAAATATGACAATTTTAGCTCAGCTGAGCTTGCTCATGGTGAGCTTTTAGAATCGTTGAATGTCCGTCGTCCGTCCACAGTTGTTCAACACTCTGGCGGTCACATTTTTGCCTCAATCATCATAAAACTTTTGTCAGGATGCTTGTTGAAGTAATTACTCGGATGAGTACCAATATGGGTCACCTTGGATTAAAAACTAGGTCACAAGAGCTTAAAATGTAAAAATCTTGTTAACAATCTAGTGGCTACTGTTTTAATCCAGATATCCTTGAAATTGGTCCGATAATTTGTTTTGATGATTTCTATGTCAAGTTCGAATATGGCCCACCTAGTGTCAAAACACACTGCTTAAATACGGAAAAACCTTGTTAACACTCTAGTGGTCACATTTTTGACTCAACTGTCATGAAACTTGGTCATGATGCGTGTCTAGATCTAGGGCCATCTTGGCCCTGTTGTTTTAAGATTTAGTCTTGAATAGTCTTTGTTGTGTTTGATTGTACTTTTTCCCTCGCTTTTGGTGCCTTAATTTTAAATGTTCCCCCTTTCAAGGACAGAAAGGTAACAAACCCTTTAAGCATCATTTCTCCAGATTCGTGCAATTTTACGTTTTATAAAAATCTCCAGAAATGGGGTGTATATATGTAACGAACAAATCAATATTCTAGGTATGATGAAAAATATATGCTAAATGATTTGTAAGAGATTTATTCTTCATATAAAGATACACACAAATATATAGCGTGTCACAAAGTATGCAAAAAATAATCCTTTCTCGGTTAGTAACATGGTAGTCATCTTATTGAGCATTTTATAGAAACAGTCACTTAGATATGACTGTTGTTACTAATAAAATACAATGCAATGATTCCCTAAGAGATTGTACAGCTAAACCGTTCTTTTCTAACTTGAAGTTGTGTACGGGCGTGGGGCGGTTCAGGGTAACACATGGGTGCCGTTGCAAATATAATTCCAATAAAATGTGTATGTGAACTGTTATAGAGACTGTTTTACACTTATATTTTAATTTTAAATGTTATGTGTATTATGTAAAGGAATGAAAAATTTAGACTTATAACTACAAAAGATTTTAAAGTTTTTTAATTAAATGTTCTGAATCTTATTTTTTAACCATTTATGTAAAAGCATTGCAAAAATAGATTAGTTTTAATAATTAAATTCTTATGCTCTTATTCTTTGTGTTTTGTTATTTTTATCACTTCAGTTCAACCAGTTTAAAATGGAAGCTCTCCATCTTAGTCGTCGCAAATCAAAATTGCTCCCCACCCACCGCCATTTTCAGAGTTTCAGTCATTTGTTTTATGGAAGTGATTTCCGTTTAAGCTCCACTTGTTAAGAAAAGGAGGACCTATTGGCATAACATACTCGTCTCCATCAACGTTGAAGTCGGTTAACCCCTACATGATAAATAATCCTAAACTTATATTTTGAAAAGTTATGTCCCTTTTTGATTGATGAAAAGTGGAGCGTCAGCTCCTGTTAGAACTTCTGAGATGCTCGCACCGACTCGCGTTTGCGTTTCTTTTATGAGGCACATTTTTTTTAATGAGGGCTTGCTTGACGCTAAACATTACTTTGATAATCTTCAACCTCGAGTGATTTATACAAGAAGACAATGATACCTTTTTCGCTGGGGAAAAAAACAACAACGGGTTTTTGTTATATTGAATCCGGAATAATGT